ATACACAAACAATACACTCACTCACACATTCGGCCTAGAGGAGAGAAAGGAGAGCAAGAGAGAAGTCTTGAGAGGGAGAGGAAGGAAGAGGAGAGCAATCTTGTTCAAGCCTAGCAAGTAAGCCACAACACAACTCTCTCTTTCATTTTTCTTTTTCAAATACATGCTCTTAAGGGTTCTAAACATTGTTTTCAGATGTGTTATTGATGATTTTCTTGTGTTAAAAATGATAAGAGTTGAGCCATGATTCTACCTCTTTTGTAGCTCCCCTCATTTCGGTACAAAACTATCTTTTTTTTTTTTTTTTCTCATACCAATCTCTCAAACTTTCCAAAGGCACACCTTCAAAATAATTTTCTGAGTTTAATATATGTTATTTAGCATGTTTTCATTACAAAGGAAATGAAAATTTTCCCTTAGTGGATCCCTCTCTTACAAATCTCCTTGTTTTGGATATTGTGCCTTAGGAATCTATTTTCACAGCCAACTTTCAAAATTTCTAGAAAAATGTAGAAAATTATTCTGGACCTCTATTTTATGTAAAAATCTTCCTTAAGGAGTTAGCTTTCAACTAAAATTGGTTTCATTGAAAAACAGTGAGCGGTTTGTAAAAAAATCAAATTTTCGTAACGGTCGACGAATCTAGACAGCGCTGGAGTGTTTCTTAAATAACTAAAAATCTAGAAAAGCTATCCCATTTCCGAAATATGTTTTGGAAGCTAGATTAAATGCTCTACGAACCATAGGAATGCCAAGTCTGGTAAAAATCTAAAATAACCCTTTTCATTCTAATCCTTAAGTGGTATTGAATCTGGAAATTTTGTTGTGCATGGGTGTTTTATGCTCTTGTGTTCATGAAGATGCTTATTAGCTTATGATCATGTCTTGGCATGATATTGTATGTGTTATGGTTATGTTCTTTATCTTCTTCATCTTAGTGATGCATGCTTATGTGGATATTATTATCTTATTAAGTTGGTCTAACCTTGATTTAAAACATTTAACTCCACGAAAAACTTAATTGGGATGGTGTTGGGCTTTCAATCACTTGAGTAATGAAAAGAGGATAATATGTGATGTAAGGATTGTTGGGATGCGTTCCCTATTTGGAAGTTAAAATCTTGCGCAAGTGGTTTTCGGAACCCTTGAACGGAGCGTTTGTGTTTGGACCCTAGGTGGTTTGGTGTGAGGAGGGATTTGGGCAAGGCCCATTATTACTGTCTCTTTTGAGGCCCTGCGGTTGGCACTACGCAGTACATAATCGTTGGTAGGCATCCGAGGTAAGGTCTGCAACAAAGCAGCAAAAGAGGGGACATACCAAATAATCTGTGTCCGATTCTTGTGGTTGGGAGGACGAAATTTCTTTGGGGGATTTCTAGTTTACTAACATCTAACCATGTAACCCTCAATTTGTTTAATTGAGTATCATGCTTTACTACTTGCTGTCATATCTATGATTGTGTATTGGACTGGGGAAAAAGGGATGGGGTGTGTGTGTGTTTACTGGGCATTCAAAGCTCATGGTATATCATGCCAGGTGCCGAAGAGGAGCTTATAGCTGGAGACAACGAGCCTGAAACCTTCGAAGACTTTTGGCTATCTTAGAAAGTTAGAAATTTCCTTTTGATAATTTGTAAGGCTTATATGAAGATTTAAAATTTCTTTTGGGATGTAATGTAATGGAACAAACTTTTGAAATTAAGGATATTCGTGGTTGTTATGTACTTAAATTCTATATATATATGTATGAACCTTATTATTGCTTATGAGACCTTGTGTTAATACCTTTTAAGATCTGTCAAAAGGGTAGTGCGTTGCCTAAGAAAGCTGGACTTAGAACAGAGGCTAATTTGACTCCTCCGGCGATCTGGGATCTTACTTGGTTATTGACCATAAGACTCATTAGTGACTCTCCCTTGACTGCAACCATTAGTGTGGAATCAAGGCGTCACACGACCACTATGAATTGAATCAGATAACCCAGGATCAAAACACACATGCAGATGCCCTTGCTTGCCTAGCCTCCGCCATCAACTCAGAAATCAAACGAACAATCGAAGTAGGGTTCATCCCAGAGCAGAGCATCACCTCTTTTGAACTAGTTCAGGTTAACATCATTGAACCAGGGCCTAGTTGGATGGACCCTATCGTTGCATTCCTTTCATCAGAACAACTCCCAATGGATAAGAAAGAAGCCCATAAGCTGCAAAAAAAAAGAAAAAAAAAGGGATCATTATGCATCATGGTTAGCGTACAAAAGAATTTTCGTCTCCAAAATCTAGAGTGGTGGGTCAAACGGGTCAAACAACCACGGAAAGGTGTATTGCATAAAAAGATCAAATTCCCATCATAACTGTACCACATTAAAACAAACCCATGCGGCCTGGACGATGTAAACGGGGACGGACTATATGTAGCCCCAAAACGCTCAATCGACGATCCATCCCGATTGCTCAATGTATGATAGGTCATTACTTGGGTAAAGATGGGTAAAGATGTAGTTCTCGGGGTATACATTTCCCCTTTCTTGCCACAAAATCCGGGGGCAAAAGGCCAACGATGTAGTGCGGGCGATCATATCCTGAGGCAAGGTCGAGGACACGGGTGAGTCCGAGATATCGTCCACGCGTGTAGGCACGGCTCTGCCTCTACAACAAGTATGGGACATCAGTAGGATCGATCTGTATATATATTGGCTGACCAATCAATTGGGGAAGGCCTGGATGCAGTCTCCTAATTATATCCTCCGAGTCTTCCTATCATTTAGGTGAGGCGGGAGCGGGGTGCTCTGCTAAAATATTCTCCAAATTAATGGCTCCGAGCTCCTCCCAAAATGCCTCATCGAGGTTAATCTTGGACATTCCTACATCACCAAAATAAACGTGAGATTTTACAGAAAATAACTAATGTAGCAGGTAAATATTTATTTCTTAGTTTATTTTATTTAATATGTCTAACCATTGCTCTGATACCACATTTGTCACGACCCAACCCCAGTGGCTTTGGACTGGAATCGCAACTTACTAAATAATTCTAATCGTAACAAATTAAATGGCGCAATCGGAGACAGAATAGAAGTAAGAAAATAATTAAACATAAAATTTACTTCATTCTATTATTTTAATAAAAGAAAGAACATTTATGAGGCTTTTATTATTTTATTATTTAATGATCGGCCCTCAGTAAAACACAAAAGGAAGAAAAGCAAAAAAAGAAAGAAACAAAATAACGGATCAGTATCAAATTCTTGTGCGGGTTCCATTACATAAGGTTACAGGTCTTTCTTACATCTCGTCACCTGAAAGGGTAATAGCTATAAACACACAGCAAAGTGAGAAATATTATGCCAAGAGTATAGGGAACACAAAATAATCATGGATAGTTAGTTAAACTAAAACATTTACATAACTTAATTTGAATAAACAAATTATTCAAAGTGGCAGAAACTGAAATACGAAAATTATGTAAATAAATGACCATAACCACGGTATAGAATAAAACAAAACAGAAGTCGCAGAAGTGACAATCAGAACAGAGGTCAATGGAACCATGACAAACAGAGGATCACAAAGCGGGCAAACAGAGACCAATGGTTATTTAAGTCCTCCAAGGCATGAGACTTCCGTGGGGGTTACTTATAGAAAATAATTATTTACAAAACCATTGTCAATAATTTCTAAAAGTTAAACAAACATATCCATAGGTTTCAATATAAGCAAATGGAGTTCAGAAAATAATTAACGTAATTGAAATATAAATATAAGTTATAAAACATAACTTGTATAAAATAAATTATAGTTATTCAAAACATATGTAAATTATATTATGGTAACTCAAAGTATAATATAACTCACCTTAATATTGACCCTTAGCCTTTACTTTCCACTATCACAAACCTTCTTACTATTAGTTTCCTACCTTCAGAATCTTGCGTGTTTTTTCCTCTCTTGTTTTGCACTGATCTGGCTCAACTCCTCCTTATTTATGGAGAGGCAGTAGTGCCATCAAGCCAACACGTGGCTCAACTCCTCCTTATTTATGGAGAGGCAGTAGTGCCATCAAGCCAACACGTGATGTAAAATATATTATGGTAACTCAAGGTATAATATAACTCACCTTAATATTTACCCTTAGCTTTTACTTTCCACTATCACAAACCTTCTTACTATTAGTTTCCTACCTTCAGAATCTTGCGTGTTTTTTCCTCTCTTGTTTCGCACTGATCTGGCTCAACTCCTCCTTATTTATAGACACTGCCATCAAGCCAACACGTGTCCACAGCCCAAATCCCTCTAGATTTTGATCATAAATCTCCATAGATTGATACTTATCTAATTAACATTTGTGGTAATTATACTTTGGCCTAGTTCTTTAACATAATTATATAAACAAACTGATTTCTAATTAAATTACACTTTATAACATACCAACAGAAAATTAATTATTTATTTTACTATCATACCTATTATTATTATTATTATTATTATTATTATTATTTTTATGTCACAAAATAGGCTTAATTTTCAAGTCCAGTGATGTGATAATCAATTAGGATATTAAAGGTAATACTCTCTCATATCTTCTCTAATCATCAATCACTCATATCACTTACACATCAATCTAAAAAAATGAGCCTAAAAAGTAGACATATATCATTTTGCTTGCTAAAAATACACATGCTTTGCTAATTGTTTCATCTCATACAACATAATTTCCTGCCACAGATAGCAAGTGGTAACTGACTAATCAAAATTAGGTCGAGAGCGATAAACTCAACATCGGAGACTTATTTCAGCCAAACACTTTCTGACTTCTTCGCTCACAATTTTCACATGTGAATGACAACACAAGGACAAAAGGAGATTATCAAAGTACTATATGGGACATGTGAAGTGGCTGTCAATCACGAACGTATTTTAATTTCCTCTTTGTTCCTTAATTAATATCTCCAGTAGTACTGACAGATGTAGAGATTGTTTCTTTTTGTTTGAATGTAAAGCCAGCTAGCTTAAACTCACACCTCAGGCTTACACTGAGACCGATTCATCCGGGTGGGGTCTAATGAGAAGCTTTTGTCCATCTATCGGAACATCTTTGTTGTACTTGAACCATTTAGCCCAGAACACATAATTGACAAAATTGAGAATGCTGAGAATTGCCAAGAACCAATAAAAGAGCTCTACGCGGTTCTTATTCATGTCAAGCCCTTCTAGCCACCCTCTCTTGCTCGAACTGAGCTTAGCACTCACCAAGTTAATGAGCCCCACGAAAGCCGAGCTCAAGTAGTAGCCTATAGACAACGAGAGAAATGAGAAAGAAGTGGAGAGAGATCTCTTGCCAGCAGGAGCCTCACTGTAAAAGAACTCCAATAGCCCAACGAATGTGAACATGTCCGCTATTCCAAAGACTGCATAATGAAAAGAGAGCCAGAAGAGGCTGATGCGGTGGTTGTGATGAATGATCTCATTCTTCCTTTTCACTTCTATGAACCCCGCCACGCCCATCGAAATAACAGAGAGAACAAGTCCAACTCCGACCCTCTGGAGATGGGTTATGCCATTTGGGTGACCAGTGAATTTACGCACTATGGGAAAAAAGGCAAATTCATAAACAGGTATAAGAAGAGACATGAACACCAGAGGAATTACAGGGATTGAGGCCGCTGGGACATCAAAACCACCTAGTTTAGTGTTCATAAGGGTTCCTTGTTGGACAGAAAAAGTCTGCAGTTGGGCTAAGCATGTGTACATCAAAATGGTGCTCAGAAGGATTGGCATCATTCTTGTTAGTATCTTTACTTCTTCTACTTGAGTCACTGTGCAAACTCTCCATTTCTTTGGCTTGATGATGCCCTCCGGAAGAACAGCAGCTTTGTCCAATAACCTGATGCAATCCATGAGAAAAACAAATCATGAACTAATTATATAACTGGTTGCATGGTGACACAATTAAACTAGTCGATATAAGGAAATTAATTTCTTTATATATAGTATATAAATATTTTTAAGGAAAATGAGTTGGATCCCCTCAAGTAGGCACTCTCTTTGACCCCCTCTTTCTCTGATTGGCCAGTTTTTTTTTTTTTTTCCTTCTCCTCCAATCACCACCCGTCACGTGTGTGTGGGGTGGTGGGGTGATGCTTGGAGGGGATTTCAATTATTTCTCTATTTTTAAATATATATAGCGTTCTTTATATATAGTGGGGGTGTTTGGGAACCAAAAGTTGAGGCTAAAATAGCCTCAAATACAAAAAAAAAAAAACAAAACAAAAACAAAAAGTCACACTAATCCATTGATTTTTTTAAAAAATAAAATAAAATCAAAGTATAGCTCTAAAATAGCATTAGCCTAACAGTGTAGGGACAGCCCCATCATTTCCGAAATAAATGACAATTTTGCTCATTTAAACCTATTTTGAAAAAAGTGAAGTTAGGGATAAATTTGTCATTTCAGTTTCAAACACATTTTTCAATACACAACTCAAATAAAAATTCATCCTATCTTTCCAAATACAAAAACTAAAATACCTTACTAAAATAGTCAAAAAGCCTCTAAAATAGCCACTTTCCAAACACTCACACTATATAAATATTTTTAAATATATATAGTGTGTTAATTGGTACAAATAGCTGACGTAGTTTAGATCTTATAATGTTTGAATGAATTAGATAGGTGGATTCATTTCTCCAAATGAAAGTAAACTGGCGGTCATGACTCATGATAATGTATAATTAAGAGAACCCACCTGAATTGGTTAGTATGGGGAATGCATTCTCGATATGACGCAGACTCAGGGCCACGAGTCTCATATAAGTCACGTGAGTTCTCGGGTAGGCGCACTGCCCAATTTCTTATTGTCACCACCAAAACCTGTAATTGATTATCACCTCAAATGAGTTAGGTTAGGTGGCCTGAATGGAATTAATCTTCTTGTACATGTGCCTATATATATAAATTTTTCATGAGAGGGAGAGAGAGACCTGTAAAACACTTGACAATGCACTTTCGCCTGGCATTCTAATGCGATAAAAAGGCTTTCCTAGTGAAATAAAACAAAGTCCAAGAAAAGCACAAATCATGGAGATGATGAAACCCTTATCCCATCCGACATTTGTGCTTACCCACACTACAACCGTCACCCCTACTGAAGCCCCAACAGTTATACTAAGCAAAAACCAATTGAAGAAGGTGGCTATGTACTTGCTTTCCTTTGCTTCGTTTTGGTCAAACTGATCAGCACCTAAAGCAGGCACCGAGCCTCTGATTCCACCTCCTCCCAACGCCACCAAGAAGATAGAAGCGTAAAACAGCAAACCTTTAGTACCATGCACACAGCTGGACTTCCCACAAAATTCAGGTTGCAGTTTATGAAAATGAGATTGAACAATTAGTAATAGATATCCCTGCAAGTCAAACCAATTCCAAACATTAAAAAAAAAAAAAAATGAACTAGAGTAATTGAATAAATGGTTGGTACTACTAGTATACAGCAGAGGGAGATACCAACAACTGGATTGTACCAAAGAGTAGACACGTGTTAAGGCGGTTCATGTAGGTATCAGAGATGAACCCTCCAACGAGCGTAAGCAAGAATACAGTTCCCAAATAGTTTGTTGTTGTAGTTGCAGAGCCAGAGAGATCAAAGTGTATGACGTACAAGAAATATAGAACCATGCTTGCCATGTTCGCCACAAAACCAATGTTGTCCAGCCCCATCATTGCTGCAGATTGAGATCTTGTTAAATTAATATGCCAACATTAGAAAATGTCATATATTTTCCGATCGAGAATTTGTAGTGTTTGAGGGTGTTACCACGTGGATCGTACGTGTGTTTACTTACCAAAGATGAAAATGGTACCCTTGAATCCACCTTGTCTGGGATTCTTCAGGGGTTGGTAAACTATATCTTCAACTCCACCATCATTTAGTCCCTGAACATATGATGCCAGTGAGTGAATTTTACAATATATGATTTAGTCCTTTTTTTCATTCTTTCCCGAAAAAGAGAGAGCAAGAAAAGGACTTATTATGGGAAAATTATTTAATAATCCCGGAATACCACGTGATCATGTTCCAAGTCAGCCACCAATTACTTAACTCGTATATTGTTCTCACATCCCCAATATAAATCGTGGATCCCTACCTCTCCTTACCAATCAAAACTTTATGGAGTATCATGTGTTCATACTTCGAGAATACTGAATAATCACCCCTTATTATGTTAGTAATTCCTATATTTTGTTTCATGTTTCCTTTTAGTCCCTTTAATTTCAATTAGATCGATTTGGACCATAAATTTATGATTTTGTCTCAATTTAATCTAATTAATTACAATTATTTGCATTTTTTAATAGAAAATATGTACATAAGCAGCACATGTCATACTTCAATTCGGTGAGGTAACTTCAAACAATTCAGTAATAATTTTCTATCAAAAACACTAATAGTGTTATCAATTGAACTAATCTAAAATGGTGGTACTACTGCTACATATATCAATTAGTGTACTAACTAGTGTACCAACACTATTTAGTGTACTAACATTGACCCCACTTATTATACAAATTACAAATATCAAAAACTACTTAAACTATGTCACATTATCAATTGGTACATTAGTTAGTACATTAATTAGTATATATAGTATTATTCAATCTAAAATTAAGAGTTAAAATTGAGTTAATTGAAAGTGTAGAAATCCAAATGATATTAGATGTCAAATGTAAGAACTATGGATATAATTTGTCCCAAAAAAATGTACACTAATCCTATTGCACATATATAGTTGCGAAAATGATCACATTTAGATGTTAAATATATCTTATGAATATAAAATATTTAGACTTAAATCAATAAAAATGTTATTTTGAATAATAATCACGTAGTTTAATAGGTAAGAAGTTAACAAAGGTTCCTATGTAAGATCACTATATTACCTTTTTTCTTTTTTAGATATTTTTTATCAACCATTCTTAATAAAGATGTAATATCACCATCTTGCCTTTTTTCTTTTTTAGATATTTCTTATCAGCCATTCTTAATAAAGATAGTAACCAAATAGACAAACTATCAATTTCCAAAGTAACAATAATTAACAACAATGTTGATATTTTGACAATAAGTATATATACTTTTCTAAGTAACAGTGAGCAAATAATAAGAAGGAATTATTTAGAATCTTTTATTTCAAAGCCTAAAACATTTTAAAAAGTATAACTGACCTCACACATGTAATATTCAATTTAATAAAATAGTAATAGATAATTCATAGTGTGACTTTAATCTTAAACATCTTTAGAAGATATATTATGATTTTTTAAAAAGAAAAAAAATGGGAAGAAATGTTAAAAATATGTTGAGTCTGATTGAATCTAACTGGATCTTATTAAAAACTCCATGATCACTAAAATAACAATAAATCATGTATATATGTTGGTTATTTTGGTATTAAACGCTATTAAAAGTTGTATTATGTCATTTTCACTAAAAAGATAGAGAAAAAAAGAGTCGAAAATATGTCGTATACAATAATTTCAAAAATTGCATGAATCGTAAAAAGTGGATCGAATCGTGAATCGATTATGAATCGTGCGATTCACTAGAGATTCACTTCCAAAATAGATTCACCCATAGATTCGTATCGATTTTTCAAAAATTGCGAATCGAATCGTGAATCGAATCGTGAATCGTAAGATTCTGATAACAGAGCCAGACACACGAGAGGTGCAACAAGAAAAAACACGACAAAAAATGAGAAGGAACTACCGACCCGATCCCATCAACGTAATAGGCTAGTTCTTGTCGTATCAACATTTGCAAATACGTGGGAAGCCAAAAAATAATAATAACAATAATATTAGTGTAAGATTCTGTGATGTTTTTGACGCGTTCAAATTTTGTTCACATTTCATATCCACTTTCATTTGTCCTTCCCTTTTTGGTGGTGTTAGAGGTCGGCCAATCTCATTGAACAAGTTTGCACCCCCTTTTAATGGTTTGCGCAAAGGTTTTTCGGGGTCCTTATTGTGTGTTATTGTTCATGTGATACTTTTAATCAAGAATATTGTTGACCCACCTTGTTAGCTAACTAGGAGATAAGAGATGATTCCACTTAATGTAAGTTTTATTGGTAGGGAGTATCACCTAAATAATGTCACATAATATTTTGAGATTCTTTAATAATTTTCCAATTCGAAGATGCTCCAACATTGCCCACCAATAAAAAAGCATAAAAATAATTAATTAAATAAATAAATCCAACAAAATGTCAAGAGTGAATATTTGTCTTTTATTTGATAATATAGGGTATCTCTCACCCAGCCTAGCTTAATTGGGGCTGATTTACCTCATATCTAGATAATCGATAATTAATCCCTAAAAGTTTAATGATCGAACAAATTTTCTATAATCCTTTCCAAAATTTTAATTTGAAATTTTGATCTTATCGTCAAATCTTTACTTGTGAAAAGTGAATCTGACTACTTTTTTTTTTTTTTTAGGTACATCGGAAGATAAAAGAAACACACAGGGACTACATCCTAGATCCCTCCATAGAGAGGTGAACAATGTCCTCGACTAACAATGGCCGAAGTTCCGCAGGTGGGTCTTGAACAATAAGCAACTCCGCCGGTTGATAGTCGCCTAATTTCGCCATTGCATCCGCACAAATGTTGGCGTCCCTGCGAATATGCTGGATGGTGAGTCACAACCGCGCATGATAATACGAGCATCTTCCACAATGCCCCGAAAAGGGCATCTCTCTCCTATGTCTTCACTTAACAGCTGAACCACTTGCTCCGCATCCATTTTGATAATCACTTGATTGAATCCTCTCTGAAGAATGATGGTGAGCCCTTTGTATACCGCCTAAAGTTCTGCTTCAAGGCTAGTGCATATCTCCAACTTGCCGTAAAACCCATTGATCCATGACCCTCTTTCATCACGAAATACTCCACCAAATCCGCCACCACCGCCAGACCTGCGAGTGCTATCGTCTGTGTTCAACTTAATTTTTCCAGCATTTGGGCCAGACCACCTAGTTAGACTCTTAATTTTAATATGAGCTGTGACATCAAGTTTAAAAGCATGAAAAATCTCTTTTCTATAATCTAAAATGGATTTCACACTCTCATAAATGTTCATAACTTTATGTTCAAAAACCCTTTTGTTATGATTTTTCCAAATAGTCCACAATGAAATGAGGAATAAGTTAGGATTTTTGTGCTTCCCTTTCATATTTTGAGTGATCCACTCTTGCCAAGGTAGAGATAGCATGTTAGAATACCATTCCCTGCCAAAGACTTGATACCATATGTGGAGAGCTTGAGGACACATCCTAAGCAAGTGTTCAATGGTTTCGATATTCACACAGTACGGGCATTTGGGGTCATTTGTGAGCCCCCTCATGGCTCTCTTATGATTAGTGAGGAGCTTGTCGTGAAGAACAAGCCACAAAAAACTCTTAAGTTTGGAAGGAACCTTAAGTTTCCAGATCCAACCCCAATCCCCCATATGGTTTTGTTGATCAACAATTAAATCATACGCACTTGATGTAGAAAACTCTCCATCAGAGGATTTAATCCATCCTTGGTTTGGGGGGGGGGGGTTGTACTTGTAAAATGCCAGCAACCATATTCGAAGGTAAGGAAGTATGCATAGAATGCAAATCCCATTCACCATTATTATCTAGCAGTGAATCCATAGTGATATCCTCAAAATTTGGAATTTGATTGGTGGGTACTAGCAAAAATTTTTCAAGTGTCCCATTACCACACCACCAATCCTTCCAAACTCTCACTTTAGATCCGTTCCCCAATTTCCATCTAATCCCCTTGATCGGGAGATCCTTGGTACTCAAAATACCTTTCCAGATATGTGATATTTTCGTGCCTTTTCTCTTGGATAGAAAGGACTGTTGTCCCAAATATTTGTTTTTGAGCACTTCCACCCAAAGAGTATTATCCTCCTTTACCATTTTCCACCCCAATTTAGATAGAAGGGCTAGATTGTGATCTCTAGCCTTTCGAAGCCCAAGCCCCCTATCTTTTTTCATCTTACAAACTTGTTCCCAATTCACAAGATGTACTTTCCTTTTCGCAAGGGTATCACCCCAAAGAAAATTTCTATTAATCTTATCAATCTCATCACAAACTTTCCTCGGGAGTGCCATAGTGTGCATGGTATATGCTGGCATAGCACTAGTAACAGATTGAATCAAGGTTGCCCTCCCAGCTAGGGATAGCATTCCAGATTTCCACCCTGTTAGTTTATTCTTAAGCTTTTCCACGATATTCAAAAAATGACTTTTGCTGACTCTATCATGGAGTAAAGGAACCCCAAGATATTTCTCCAAATTTTGAGTTAAGGGAATAGTACTCAAATTACTCAGCTGCATAGCTCTCCTCCTATCAATATTAGGGGACACAAAAAGATGGGATTTATGTAAATTAACCTTCAGTCCAGAAATGGCACTAAATTCAGTCAGGACTTGCAAAATGGTGTGACAATTACGATCATTTGCCTTAGCAAATAAGATTAAATCATCCGCAAAGAATAAGTGTGATATAGTAGGACCACCCTTAGCCAAACACAGTCTGTCCAATCTTTATCTTGCACTTTTTGCGTAATCATGGCAGAAAGTCTTTCCATGCATAACACAAAAAGATACGAGGAAAGAGGGTCCCCTTGACGAAGGCCTTTGGCAGGTTTGAACTCATCAAGAGGTTCTCCATTCCATAAGATAGCCGTACTCACACTAGTAACAAAATTCATAATCATGGCCACTAGATTCTCATCAAAGTGAAATTCCAACAAAGTTTGCCTCAAGAAATTCCAAGAAATATTGTCATAGGCCTTTTCGAGGTCAACTTTAAAAATCATGAATCCCAACTTCCCTTTTTTCTTATTCAAAGTATGAATAGCTTCTTGAGTTATGATGATATTATCATGTGTAGACCGACCCGGAATAAAGCTACTTTGGTTAGGGCTAATGATATCATTCAATATAGGGCAAATTCGATTGACAAGGATTTTGGTTATGATTTTATAGGTCACATTACAAAGACTGATTGGTCGAAATTGCTTCACAGTTTTAGGGTTAGTAACTTTAGGGATAAGAGCGACAAGAGTTCTATTAATCTTAGGGGGAATAGTAGCGGAGGAAAAACAGTTTTGGACAAACTCAACCACTGATTTACCTACAATTCCCCAAAAAGTATGGTAAAAGATAGCTTGATACCTATCTCGACCAAGGGCCTTAAAAGCTTTAATGTTTTTGACTTCCCTCCAAATTTCAGTGGCAGAGACCTTCCTACCCATTTCTAATTGATCCTCAACATTAATGTGCTTAGTCAAGTTATTCTAGTGAAGAAGATTACTAGTGGGAGTATGAGCAAAAATATTTTGAAAATAATCCTGCACTAATTTTTTTAACTCAATAGGGTTATCAATCCACCTCCCCTCCTCAGATTTCAAAACAACAATTTTAGTTTTCCGTCTTTTGATAATGGTAGACATGTGGAAAAATTTGGTGTTTCGCTCGCCCTGAGTAATCTAATTAGCACGGGATTTTTGAAACCAATATAATTCTTCTTGGTACAAAATTCTGTTATACTCAGTAGTGAGCTCACTTTCCAGTTGAAGAAGATTGTGAGAATAGTGGTTAGATTGAGAAATTTGGATCCCATTAATTCTGCCAAGCAACCACCGTTTACATCTAAAAATATTGCCAAAAACATTTTTATTCTAATCCTGCACAGCAGATGTTAGGTGATCCAAATTCCCCAGCAGGTTATTAAGAGGTCTAGGCCAATTCTTCTCAACAATATCACTAAAGCCCTCATGAGTTAGTCAGGCAGCTTGAAATTTAAATGACTTAAATAAAGGAGTAGCAATGTGAGTACCTTGAGTGTGTAGTAGAAGAGGAGAATGATCCGAGTAAGTGCGAGGCAGGTTTCTAACATACCCTTCTGGGAAAAGTGTTCTCCATTCAGTGTTACATAGGGCCTGATCCAATCTGACCATGGTATTTGCCCAGCCTTTTCTATTGTTGGTCCAAGTGAGTCTAGGACCAACACAGCCTAAGTCTATAAGATTGCAGCTATTAATTCTATCCATGAATTTCTGGCTCCTGTGTTGGCTCTGGCTTGTACTTTGATTTATATTAACTTGGAAGCTCCTTTTCTCCGCAAAACTGGAGTAATCATTAAAGTCCCCAGCTACGAGCCACGATTCCTGAATATTTTGAGCAATGTCTTCCAATCCATTCCATAATTCCTCTCTCATTATGATATTTAGGCTTGCATAAACTGCAGATATAACCCAATCCGGATAATCTTGCCTTGATATAGTAGCTGTTATCATCTGGGAAGTTGCATCATGTACTCGAACATTTGCTTGACAAGGGTTCCACAGTAGCCAGATTCCTCCACTTCGGCCAATCGGATCAACATGAGTGGAAGCCGTGTACCCCAAATTGTTGAAGAACATGCCCATTGTATGTAATTCCACTTTTGTCTCCATGAGTATTAACATATCAGGATTATGCAAACTTACCAAATCCCGCAGTGTTCTCCGGAATCGAGCATTACCCGCACCTCGACAATTCCATATTATCATATCCATAACTGACATTTGAATGTTTGGCCAATCCTCTATCTCAGACAGTCCCAGTATGTTTCGGACACTCCTCTGGTCTTCCTTCACTGACCTCATCGGTTTCACATTCACCATGTGTTTCACATTGTGTGAATCGATCTCCCACCATGGTTGTATCAGAAGCTTCACTTCTTCGAGCCACCAATCGATTTTGACGCGGTGATACGCTTCTTTCTCGAGTGCTAAGAATATCAGTGCTCTGAATTGATCCACTCGGTGCTCTTCCATCAGAATATTCTCTGCACTTTCCTCCATGAGTTCTCCCTTCTTGCCGTCCTCTTAAATCTGGCGGTTTGACTTTTCTGTTCTTCAGACGATGGTCAGGTTCTGCTATCGCAGTCTGGGTAATGGACGAATTGGAGGCGTTAGAGAGGACGATATTGGGGAGAGGATTAGGGTTATCTATGTGTTGTTTTTTCCCTGGGCTGAGAGATGAATTTTTATGCATATCAGTCGGTTGTTTAGCCTGATGTTGCTCTCTTGTGTCCCTAGGCCCAGATGGCAGGTCTCTTCCTAAGTATGGGCTTACATTCTCCATTAATTTGGGTAAATCCATGTCCATTACTTGGGCAGGTTGCATTAGTGTGGGTTGGGGTTCCAAATCAAGGTCCACATATTTCCCCTAGGCTTCACTTTTGTTTGGGCCTCCACTTGATTCTCCTTGCTCTTGGTCCAGTGGTAGTCCTGTAAAACGGTTGCTCCTATAAGAGTGGGCCTTCAGTTTGGATTTCCCTTGTTGGAATTTTCGTTTGGTGGTGACTAGAGTCCATGGCCCATAGCCTCCATTCTCTGCCTCATTACATATTTCCTTCATCTTAGGCCAAGTGGTTTTGGATGGACCTGGCCCAGTAACAGCATCTGATGTATTAACGGTCACATTTTGGGTTGTCTTCTCTGATTGCATCATCAGAAATTCAAAACACTTTCTTTCCGATGACCAACACGGCCGCACGAAAAAAACAGCAGATGCAGATGTTCATATTCGACAATGTAGTGATATCTACCAATAGTAATATGGGATATGAGCGGTTTCCGCAAGTCCATTTCAATACATACTCAGGCATATTTCCCACGTGCTGCCATGGTAGTGTTAATATCAATCTTTAGAGGTTTCCCAAGTGCCCTTGATATATGGTAAAGAACTTTCTCATCATAGTATTCAATAGGGAGGTTTGGAAATCGAACCCAGATTGCGGTTGTGTCCTCCTCTGCTTCATCTGATTTAAAATCGGCTTGCCATTTACGAACTGTCACATACCGGTCCATCATAACCCATGGTCCTCCCATATACACCTTGGAATAATCCTCCATCATTTCAAATTTCACTATGAAAAAACCATGCCCAATATCCAGAGTTTCGAAATCGGCCTGAGGATTCCAGAGTTTCCGCATACGATTCACAAAAAGTTTATAACCAATATTCTTACCTAGGATTCTCACAATGAGGCACTTTTGCCATGGCTCTCTAATTTTTTTAAGAAGCCCAGCAGGTATTTTAATAACCGGGTTTGAGCTTGTCCCTTTGTACTGCAAATGATCCTCTCCCTCCTCATCTTTATCCATTTCGTCTACAGAAGACAAATAAGCCTCCTCACATTCACAAGTTCCGTCTCTTTTAGTCTCATTAAATCGAGATTTCAGGAGAGCTTGTTTGAAGGATTTATATGCTCCCACATTCAGTTCCTGTTTCTGAGCATTGAGGTCATTCTGAGCTGTGAGTTCCTCCACCATGCACTCGTCTGGCTTTTCCAGTGTGTTGCTTTGATTCTTCAGCAGATCTTCAACCGTTGTATCCGTTTGCTTTACCTTTTTTTTACTCCGGTCAAGGTGGTCCTGTTCTTCCGACGAGGTTGCATGGTTGACGGCTTCAACGGTCATATTCTCAGCGTTTTTTTAAGGTCTCCTTTGAAAATAAGTTTTTTTAGAAGTGGGAATCAAATGCTACTGAAAGCAGCATGTATACTCTCAAATGACGGAGATTCCAAGTTGTCCTTCCCAACGTAACAATAGTAACCGTATCAAACTAGGTATATTATACAAATATGTCTGCCTACCATTGTTGTAAAAGGCAAAAGGTGACAACTACAACAACAGATTCCAGCCTCATACCTTGGCATCTTTTCTTGGCGATTTTGTAAACTAGCCTACTATTGATTAATTCTTTCCTATTAAAATTTCTAAAGCATATGAAAACAGATCATGCTACTTATGACTTCCCCATCAATTCCTTTCCTTTTTTAATAAAACCATCAACAACAGCAATAACGACTGAAAAAAAAAAAAAAACTCTACATCAAACAATTTTCATAAATGATTCTGACCTTAAAACTAATTTACTTCTTGCATTAATGGTGGTGGTGACGGAAGCACCGGTGAGGTGGTGGCAGTGGTAAAGGTGGAGGAGGTGGTGGTCAGGTGGGTGATGGTGATGATAGTGTGGTTGTATAGTAAATTTTTAATCTCAAAAATATTTTTTATCTTTTAAAACATAAATAATTTTTCATCTAAATAAACTTGTATTTCGTTGATCACAGAAAACTTAGTCTCATTAAATTTCAGTTTTTGTCATACCAAAGACTAAAAATAAATAAATAACATTCTAAAAATATTTTTCGTCAAAAAATAAAAGAATGCCTTCCAATTCAACTTATCTCGTGGAGGCAAGAAATATATATATATATATATATATATATATATATATATATATATATATATCTATATATGTATGAGAAGGGTAAGCACACTAATGTGTGCAATTGAAAAGTTCATTTGTACGCTATGAAACTTACAATTGAACCAGTTGAGAGACTAGCCTTTTTTTCATACAAAAATTAAAATAAAAATTAAAAATAATCTATGGCAACTGTTGTTGCTTTTAAGTAACCGAACTTGTGGACATTTTTCGAAAATGGAGCTGCTAAATGCCCCCACACAATTTGTTTAGACCCTCACTTCTTTAGACCCCTCTACCTATCAAAATTGCTCCCCACCTTCTTCTCTTTGAGCACTCACTATATTCCCAACTTTGCTCTTTCTTTGAACCCCCACACCCTACCTTTAGCCACCCTCACTCGACCCTCTCCGCCCGTGAGCCCCGTCTCCAGCCTCCTTTACCACTGGTGGCTCCCTTCCCCAGCCCCCTTCATTCCCCAACAACACCCCAACCCCATCTGCCGCCATCTCCACCGTTTCCCTTCATCTTCTCTAGCCGCGACTACCCCCGCAACCATTCAACTCCTTTTTTCTTTTTCTTCCCTTATGTGAAACCCCAGTCAGTCTCTCTCTCTCTCTCTCTCTCTCTCCTCGTCCTCCTCCTCCTTCTTCTTTGTGAAACCCTAGCTAAGAAGAGGATGGGGGTTGCAAAAGTGAGGGTCGCAAGGGTAGGGCTGCAGGGTCATAAGGTTGTAGAAGTGGCAATCAGAAGAGTGAGGGGCTAGAGGGTAGTTGAGCGGATAAGGGGAGTTGGGATCGCAAGGTGGAGTTGCGGGGGTGGTGGTCCAGATGGCAGAGGAAGGAGCTGTGTGAGGATAGAGAGAGAAGGGATTAGAAGTGATGGCCAGAGTCAGGGATGGGTAGGGGAGGGCGGTTGGAGCTGGTAGTAGGTGGTGAGGGTAAGTTGGTATGCAAAGTTAAACTTTTGCCAAGTTTCCTCTTGGCAGTCTATTTTGATAGAAAGGACATTTCAACAGCCAAATGCTTGCCAAGAAAATCATAAGCCAAGGCCTCCTTATCAAAAGTATGGGTGTCAAGATGTCAGAAATGTCCACTCCTTTTGATATTTATCTTTCAAAATGCTACATTATGTAGGAGTGGTTATCCCCTTTTTGAAAAGAAGTATAGATGGTTTAGTCATTTCAACATCCACTGTGCTGTCCCCAATAGCAACAAGTCTTTGTTTAGAATTAAAAGTTTTGTGTCGTTCAAATATAAATTTTTGAATAAAGGTCAAATGTTCGGACATAAATTTATGAACAAAAATAAATTATTTAAATTTATATTCCGAACAAGAATGAATTACTCAAATATATTCTGTTCAAACAACTGCTTTTTGTTTATAAGTTTATGTCCGGACATTTAATTTTTGTACAAAGTACAACATGAAAATCAATCATATAAAATGAACTAATCCTATAACTGAATGGTCATCTATTATGGTCTGTAAGTATTGTATCATAACACCGGAAAGTATACAACCTTGTCACTGAATATGCAAATGGACAGTGGGGGGAACTACTGTATGAAGCCACTCACAGATGGACTCAGTTCTAAATTTGTACCACGACATTGCTTCTTCATAAACCCAGTTGTTGAATCCTCTGTACACCTTCTGGGAAGGACTCACCACTAGAACTTTGAGTTCAACTAGATTGTCAATCAGATACTTGAGGAGCTCAACTTCATGCTGATTACCGTAAAACCCATTTACCTCTAGTTCAGCAAGATGCTTATGAGGGCACACAGGAAGGACTCTTTCTATCTCTTTTGGTTGCTTGATAAAGCTTGGGCAAAACAACTGTAAGAAACCAAAAAAAACAAAAAAAAGAAAAAGAAAAGAGTTACTCGGCTTATATGTTCTAGGATAAATTTCTAATTATCAATCAGCACATTGCAAATGGAAAAACAAGTATTTGGCGATATGAACAACAAGGCACTAGAAAACTTGATCTAGTTTGCTTCCATAAAAAGGTTAACATGTACTTACATTTAACTGTAGTTTTTGCAATAAAGGGAAAGCCTTCAGGACATAACTAATCCAGCAGAGTTTGTCTTCATCATCAAATGGAAAAACAGTCAGCACAAATTGCTTGATATTGGTGAATGTAGGCCCAGTTTCCGGAAGATTTAGTATCTGAAATGGAAAGATTACAAACTTAGCATGCATTATATAAATTATAAAATAAAAATAAAAACAAAAAAAAGACTACACAGAAGACTCTGCATAAGTGGCAAGGTTGGATATGCAGAGAGTATGACTGACTGTCAACACTAATCCAATGGCATAGGAATCAGGACTAAACTCACTGTGAACTGGAACTGGAAAACTATTCTATTTAAATACATCATTATAGAACAAGTTTCAGGTGCATGAACAGCTCGCATTGGCACGGATCCTGATCCTATCAATTTCAAATATTCTTAAATTCTTAGCTGAAATACCTTGAGATATTCTAGAACAGTTTTTTTGCTACATTTACCTTCATAGCCAGTATTGAGATAAAATTAAAAGTCTCCAACTGAGGTAGATCGCTCACAAATCTTGTGAGGGCATAAATTCCACCATCCAGTCTGCTCTCTCCAGTGAAATTCAGAAAAGCTTCAGCCAGCCTTGGGACATTTTTGAAGTATAAGCTAATTAAGTGACCAGTATATTCCAACAAAACAAGATCCTTTGCACATAACTCCATCGCCTGCAA